AATAAAGTCTGCTAGGACACTTCTTTAACAAATGTTAGGAATAATTTTTCTTTAACAGGTTCATCCACATTATGGAGGATATTTACTTAAAGTCTACTGAAATGCATGTTAATCACATCTAAAAAATACCTGCACAACAACATCTAGAGGGATATTTGACCAACTTGACCACATTGACAGATATGATCATCCATCACAGTTCATATAGTATATTATTTTATTTTGCATGTTAACTTTGTGTTCTACAATTTTTTGTATTAATAAAATTTATCCATAGTTTTTTTTCCCTAAATGTCTAATCATGTCTTCGTAAATAATAATTTTATTCTTCCATTCCAAGCCTTATATCTTTTATTTCTTATCCACGGTTATTTCTCCTGGGTAAGATCTCCATTAACATGTCAAATTAAAGTGATGACAAAAGGCATTCTTTGTGCATTCTCAATCTCCGTGGAAATCTTGACATTTATTCTGGTCAGGTATGGTATTTGCTGGCGATTTTTTTTTTTTTTTTGGTAGATTCCATTTATCATATTAAGAAGATATTTTTATTCATAATTTGAGATATTTTTTAAAAGTCATAACTCTGAGTTTAATTTATTAAATGTTTTTCTGCATCTACTGAGATGGTCAATAGTTTTTGTATTTTATTCAGTTAAGAATTACATTAGTTCATTTCCAAATTTAAACAATTCTTGCATTCCTCTATTAAATCCAATTTAGTTGCATTGTAACTCTTTCTCCCTCCCTCTCTCTCCCACTCCCCACACATATACACACAACACACATATACAACACCTGGATTTGACTTTAAGATTTTTGCACCTAAGATTTTGAGTGAGTTTGACTTGTAATTTTCACTTCCTGCAATGTCCTTCTCAGGTTTTGATATTATGATTATGCTGGCCTCATAATGTAAGGTATATATATTGCTCCCTTCCTCTTTTTAAATGCATTTTTTGGAAGAGTTGTATAAAATTGGTAATACTTCTTCCTTAAGTGATAGAATTTATTATCTGGAAGACTTTTTATAATGAATTTACCAAAAATAAGCCAGTTAAATCTTTATTGGATTCAATTTTGATAATTTATGTTTTTCTAGGAATTTGTCTATTTTATATAAATTTTGACATTGTTATAAATTGCTTATAGTACCTTCTTGTTATGTTTTTAATGTGACTAGAATCTGTAATAATACCTTTTTTTGTACCTCATGTTATTTGTTCCTTCTTTTGTTGTTGACTATACTTTCTGGTAACTTATCAATTATATAAGTCTCTTAAAATAATAAGAGTTTAATAAACCAAATAAATTTTGGTTTCTGAATAATTTGTCCATTTTATATTATTGAATTTATTGGAAAAGCATTCTTATTAACTTTTAATAATTGTAGGATGTGTAATGTCCTTATCCTTTCTTTTTCTGGGGGAGGGGCAGAGGGAGAGGGAGAGGGAGACAAACAGACTCCTAGCTGAGGGAAGAGGCTGATGCAGGGCTTGATCCCAGGACCCTGAGGTCATGACCTGAGCCAAAATCAAGAGTCCAACTCCCAACAGACTGAGCCACCCAGGGGCCCCTGTCCTCCTCCTTTCTGATATAGGTGTGTGTGTGGGTGTATGTATATATGTGTGTGTATATATGTGTGTGTATATGTGTGTGTGTGTGTGTGTATCGTCATTTATGCTACAGGCTTATCAATTTTTTTTTTTCCCTGAAAGAACCAACATTTGGCTTTGCTGATATGTTAAGTATGTTTCCTTTCTATTTCATTAATTCCTATCTTACCCCTTTTCTTGATTTTCTTTTTCTTATGTTTAATTTACTTTTCTAACTTCTAACTTCTTGAGAACTTAGATGCTCATTAATTTTCAGCTTTTTTTGGTAATGTTAATTTAAAGATATAAACTTTATATGTTGCATTTTCATTATCATTCAGTTCAAATTATTTGGTAATTTCCATTGTGATTCCTCCTTTGAATCATAGGTTATTTGTAAGTTAAATTAGTTTCCATTATATGGAAAATTTTAAATTATCATCATTATTGTTGCTATTCATTCATAATCTCATTACATTTCTTTGAAATATGTTGATAATTCCTTTATGGCTTAATACCTAATCATTTTTTTTTTTACCTGATCAATTTATGTAAGTGCTCCATATGTATACTTTAACTGTTAGATGTACTATTTCATGTGGATCATTTAGGTCAATTTTGTTAAAAAGTTTTTAAAAAATGGTATCCTTCTTAGTAATTTTTATCTTCTGATCTAATCAGTTACTATAAGTTATTATATGAGTCTAGATTTGTCTTTCTCATTTCAGTTCTGACAATTTTTAAAGTACAGGTTGATATTTTGTTAGAGCATTACATCCATCATTTTAATCACTATTGCATTCAGTTGTATTCTCTTTACATTCCTAAGATTTGGCGATCCATCAAATAGATTTACAGCTCATTCAGTTAAGCATGCAGGGAATAACAGGTTAAGGACTAGCAAATTCTGTCGGAACAGCTAAACTCTTTTGCATTTTTAGACATTATTAATAATGGAATGTTTTAGGGGTGCCTGGGTGGCTCAGTCGTTAGGCGTCTGCCTTCGGCTCGGGTCATGATCCTGGGGTCCTGGGATGGAGCCCCGCATCAGGCTCCCTGCTCAGCAGGAAGTCTGCTTCTCCCTCTCCCACTCCCCCTGCTTGTGTTCCCTCTCTCGCTGTTGCTCTGTGTCAAATAAATAAAATCTTAAAAAAAAAAAAATAATGGAATGTTTTTGGAATTTTTAAGGTCAATTCTAAAAAACTCATCTGAATGTCACTTTTTTAACAGTGACAGTATGTACATTCCACAGGACTTACAAAAGTATTAAGAAAATAAACTCTTGGGTTTATATTTGTATTTTCTCTTTTCTTAATAACCAAATCTTGCCAGAAATGTCTCAACTTTTCAAGTATTCTAATATTCAGATTTTTGCTTTGTTTCTCTTTCTTACATTTCAGTAAAGTTTTGTTTTTCCATTTCTTTGGATATATTCATTTCCTACTTTGTTTTAACCTTTCTTCTCTTTTAATATAAGAATTCATAATTAGGGCGCCTGGGTGGCTTCAGTTGGTTAAGCAACTGCCTTTGGCTCGGGTCATGATCCCAGGGTCCTGGGATAGAGTCCTACATCGGGCTCTCTGCTCGGCAGGAGGCCTGCTTCTCCCTCTCCCACTCCCCCTGCTTGTGTTCCTGCTCTCGCTATCTCTCTCTCTGTCAAATAAATAAATAAAATATTTAAAAAAAAAGAATTCATAATTATACATTTCCATCGATGTTCTAAGTACTAATATAATGATAGCTTTCATATCTAAATTATTTTCTTAAACTGGTTATTTTTAGTAATTTCTTATTCACTTTCCTTTCCATTCCTTCTTTTATTTTATTTATTTATTTTTTTTAAAAAAAGATTTTATTTATTTATCTAAGACAGAGAGAATGAGAGAGACAGAGAGCACATGAGAGGGGGGAGGGTCAGAGGGAGAAGCAGGCTCCCTGCCGAGCAGGGAGCCCGATGCGGGACTCGATCCCGGGACTCCAGGATCATGACCTGAGCCGAAGGCAGATGCTTAACTGTCTGAGCCACCAAGGCGCCCTATTTTTGTTTTTTAAGATTGTATTTATTTGACAGAGAGAGACACAGCGAGAGAGGGAACACAAGCAGGGGGAGTGGGAGAGGGAGAAGCAGGCTCCCCGCAGAGCAGGGAGCCCGATGCGGGACTCGATCCCGGGACTCCAGGATCATGACCTGAGCCGAAGGCAGTCGCTCAACCAACTGAGCCACCCAGGCGCCCCCTTCTTTTATTTTTAAAAATATTTTAAATATACTTACTTTATTTTCTGTTTTTGAAAAATCCAGTATCTGAAGCCTGTAGACATTGTTTTTAAAGTTTTTACTCTCTTGTTTTTTTATTTATTCTCATTTTAGACGGCTGGTTTTTGTGGGAATGAGTCACCCAGGTGATAGGAATCCTTGTCTGGAATTCGTGTGAGTGCTTTTGCTAGGAATTTTCATTAAAAGTTTTAACCATTTTCAAATCAAAGAAAATCTGAGTCAGTCAAGTTTCCTCAAGTTTCGTCAAGTTTCCGTCTTTTCGTAGGAGAAACTTTCCACCCCCACAAGTTCTTTCACTGAGAGAGGTGGCCCTCCTCGGTTCCCCGCTATACCTTGCGTGGGGTGGGGGGGAAGGGTGATGGGTGGAGTGGGAGAAGGCGTGGGGGTCACCAGTCCGGTTACCCCATTCTATTTGGCCTCAGTCTCTTATTTTCCTTGCTTCTGTAAAATCACCTGATCTAGGACCTTGCTACTAAAAATGTGGTCCTCAGACCAACATCCCTTGGGACGCTGTTAGAAATGCAAAATCTTAGGTACCGGCTTCAAAAGTTGTTCTTGTGGATTTTTCTTTTTGTTTTGGCTGCCTTTCCTGTCCTAACAGCTGTATACTTACATGTACACTTTCCAATGTTTTCTGTGTACATTAAGAAGTTAAAAAATAATTTTAGGAGCAACCGCATTAGCCATTTAACGCAGAACAAAACCGAAAGGACATCAACATCTGTTCTTTAGATGCAATGTGTTTGCTAAGACTGGCTTCTGTCCGTTGCTGCGTGGTTGACCACAAATTATTAAATATATCGGCGAGGATGAAATCCGTTCGTGCTGTCGTGCCTCTGCCAGTTTGTACTAAACTCCTCATCAGTCTCCCCACCCCACCCCCCGCCATTCCCCAGCGAAGCTTCCTGCAAAGCTTCGTCTGGTTCAATCACAGTAGGCCACCAAACCACCGCGAAAACCCGGAGTAACGGATTTGGGGCGTAGCTAGGGTCCTCCAGGGAGCAAGGAGAATTTACAGAGCATGCGCAAAGACGGGTGCGCGCACATGCGCAGTGGTCGGCGCAGGGCCGCGCGCTGGTCTCTCCGGGAGGCTCGGAGGCTGCGCGCGGTTGACGTGTTCGTGTCTGTGGAGGCGGCGAGGCTCTGGGAGGGGAAGGAGCAGAGAGAGGGAGGGTGAGGTGGGGGGCTGAACCCGGAAGTGGGTAGGCGCTGGAGCGAGCGCGCCGACAGTGGAGCTCAGCGGCTGGGAGCCAGCGGGGGAGCCCTGGGTTCCCGGTAATGGATCTGTGGGGCGTTTGCCCAGGGAAACTGGGGTGGGAAGGGGAGCGGGTTCGCGTCGGCGAGCGCTGTCTCCGCCTGGGCAGGGCCTGGGAAGGCTCTTCTGCTTCCCTTAGTCGTCCCTGTGGTTGACCCTACTCCTTCTGCTCTGCGCCCCTCCTGGGGCCATCTCCTGCGGGGTGATTTTGGCCGTGGGACACTCACTGTCCATGAGGAGGTGTGCCTTGCCCGCCCTGGAAAAAGGCATGTTAATGGAGAGACATGGATTTCGCGGCCGCGACGGCCTTATTGTCACCAGCCCAGCGCCCCTAAACCCTGAATGTAGCGCGCCTTAACCTGCACCCTCAGTGATCTTGGAGGGATCCCTCCCTTTTCGGCCCCTCTTTTTCCCACCCCGTTCGTCAGTCGGGCCTGAAAGGTGTGCTCCGGCGTCCTTTAAAATTATTCTTTTGTTGGCTGTCTTTTATAACCCGGCCTTCCTTGTTCTCCACGCTAAAATCTTAGCCACGAGTAGGAGGTGTGACTTTATCATAATTTAGTTCTGATTTAGAAAGGATTAGTAGACGAATGCCGTGAATAATTAAAGATGTGCTTTGCCTTGGAGTTTTTTTACGTGGTTCTTACTCTTTTGCAGACCATGAAACCCTCGGGCACGCCCCTCCAGAAGCTGTTAACCAAGACAATCTAGTTTTTTGTTTTTTTTAAATAAATCCTTTAAGACACTTATGAAGTTTCTTGTTCTGAAATTGTTGTACTGCAATGAAGAAAAGGAGAAAGGTTACTGCAAATCTTGACGAGAAGATCCATCTAGGCTATCATAAAGATTCTTCAGAAGGCAATGTTGCAGTGGAGTGTGACGAAGTAACCTATACTCATTCCACAGAAAGACCAATTCCTGAAGCTCTTCACTGTTACCAGGAACTTCCCCCTTCTCCAGATCAGAGAAAACTTTTGAGTTCTTTGCAGTATAACAAGAATTTGCTGAAGTATTTAAATGATGATAGGCAGAAGCAACCATCTTTCTGTGACTTACTTATCATAGTAGAAGGCAAAGAATTTAGTGCGCATAAAGTTGTTGTTGCTGTTGGCAGTAGTTATTTTCACGCGTGTTTGAGCAAAAATCCAAGCACTGATGTTGTCACCCTGGATCACGTAACACACTCAGTTTTTCAGCATTTGCTTGAATTTCTTTACACATCAGAATTTTTTGTGTACAAATATGAAATACCTCTTGTTTTAGAGGCAGCAAAATTTCTGGACATTATAGATGCAGTTAAGTTGCTAAATAATGAAAATGTTGCCACTTTTCAGTCTGAGCTGGCTGAAAAGTCATCACCAGAAGAAACACTAAGTGAATTAGCTGGAAGACTATCAAATAATCATCAGTGTAAATTCTGTAGTAGACATTTTTGTTATAAAAAGTCTTTAGAGAATCATTTGGCTAAAACCCATAGGTCCCTTTTATTAGGGAAAAAACATGGGTTAAAAATGCTGGAGAGAAGTTTTTCCACAAGAAGATCGAAAAGGAATCGGAAGTGTCCTGTTAAGTTTGATGACACCAGTGATGATGAACAAGAAAGTGGTGATGGGTCAGACAATTTGAATCAAGAAAATTTTGATAAGGAAAAGTCAGACAGAAATGATTCTGAGGACCCTGGAAGTGAATATAATGCTGAAGAAGATGAACTAGAGGAGGAAATGTCAGATGAATACTCTGACATTGAAGAACAAAGTGAAAAAGATCATAATGATGGAGAAGAGGAACCTGAGGCTGGTGATTCTGTAGGAAATATTCATGAGGGGTTAACTCCTGTAGTCATTCAGAACAGTAACAAAAAAATATTGCAATGTCCTAAATGTGATAAAACATTTGACCGCATAGGTAAGAAAAGAAAGATTGTTTTCTGTCTCTAATAACTTAATTTTTCCTGGTATTTTAAAGGTTATAATGAAAAACCAAACTTTGAAGGTAACTTTTGAAAGGAATACTTAACTAGGGTGGGTATTTGATAGTCAATACATATTTTATCCTGTTGTTTTAAATTTGTTTGATTCAGGAATTTAACTGTTTTTATTAGCTTTTATTTTCCCTACCTCATGTCCCATTAAAAGGTGAAAGATCATTAGTTCAAGTATTTGGTATGAAAAAACTCCTGACTTAATAATTATGAATGTAGTGCTTTGATTTATATGTTGATTTAATTTCATAGATAAGTGCTATTTTTGAGTCATAGAAAATTAGATTATATTAATTCAGTTTAATAATTTGTATACTATTTCCCCTTGAACATGGTTATATCTGAGTTAGAAATAAAGTCACTTCTCTAGTATCTAGTACTGTTTAGAATTGGAATGTTTCAGTTTAGGCTTGTAGTTAAGAATAAAACTGAACTGGATATAATTTATTCTGTAGGTAGAGTCTCCAGGAAACGTCTTGATTAGTAGTAGTCTTTGGTTATTATAATAACTAATAAATCAGCTTTTCCTTTATTAGAAAAAAGTATATGCAGGAAATGTGGTCTATAACCTTAAGTTAAAAATGTCAGTGAACATACAATTTCAGGAGGTCTAATATTGCTAGTAAAATAATTTTGGGAGGTGTTTTACATGAACTGTTCTAATGTGAACTTTTAAATTGCAGCAATTAAACTATTTCTATATAAATCAAAGTTATGAAATTGTGAAATATGTTCCACCACATATAACGTTAAAAGGAACATTTAAGTGCAGTTTGACCTTGTAATATTATTTATGCAGTTTAATATATCCCCATGTATTTTGCAGTGTTGAGTTACTAATGTTATTGGTTTAGGTGGAAATTGATTTTATAAGGTATTGGTAATCATTTGTTCTCAAAATATGGGACAGTACATACTATAGCATAAGTGGTAACCTCTTTTTGCTTTTTATTATGCCTTTGAATCCAAATCAGAATATTTTGACAGTCCAATTTAATAATTCCTTATCACTGTTTTTACTGTGTTTGAGACTCTGTACAAACATGAATAAAATAACTTTTCATGAGTAACTCTGAAGAGCATAGGAATACAAGGAACTTGCTACACTCAGGCTGGATAAATGCTCTGTCTCTTGTAGAGCTATAAACAAGTACTGTGACAAGAGAATATTTTTGGATTCAGATACCTGAGAGCACATTATCTTTTCAGTAGATTCTGCTTCTTCAACTTTATATTTTTAGTACATGCCTCTTTATTCTGCCTTAATTTGACCTAATTTGACTTGAGATGAATGAGCAGGGGTCAGGTCACAAATGGCATTGTAGCCCCCCAACACTGAGATTTCTGAACTGTCCTATTGAACACTAGGGCTGTGAGATACTTTAAGAGAGAAGAGTTCTATGTTCAAATAAGATTGGAAAAACTATATACTGTAATTCATAGTCTGTAATAACTGTCAAATTGTCTAGTAAAGAAACTTGGTAATTTCATTTAGTCTGGTATTTCCTCAATTTTATCGTAAGACATTTTTGTGGTACTTTTTTTAATGTCCAAAAAACCCACTACATTTCCTTGCACACAATTTAGGAAAACACTGCTCAAGATTAAGTTCCTGATATACTAAGAGGAAGGTGTTTTGCAGCTTTTTTAACCGAGGGCAGCCCAAATAATTGTGAGAATCAATAGGTCACATTGTAGACTTACCTGCAGCCTTTCTGAATGCATTGGACTTTCTACCTCTCTTTTATCTACCCTTCTCTTTTGTTTAAGTCTCCCGTGGGGCTGCTTGCTTTTCCCCAGGACTGAGAGAGAGGAAGATGGAGAATATATCATATTGGTTAAAAAAGCATGAGCTATAGTGATGTCAGACCACCTGCATTTCTGAATCCAGGTCTTGGGCAGGTTACTTAACCTGTCTGTATTTTTATTTCCTCATAGGTAGAGTGGGATGATGCTAATGTATGCTAATAGTACCTTCTCATGGAGGTTATTATGAGAAATAAATGGGATAGTCTTGTGAATCACTCAAAATACTGTGTGAAATTTAGGTGTTCAAGGAATACTAGCTGCTCATATTGTTAATCTAATATAGTTACTGAGTATCTCTTAATACCAATAAACAGGTAATGAAGTTATATCTTCTGTGTTCTCAAGAATGTTAAAGTTTAATGAGTACATGCAAAAACACAATCATATTGTAGTGTAGATAATCCTACCAGAAAAAGTACAAAGGACTAAAGGAATCAGTAGATTTCATAGAGCAGATAGCATTAGAGCTGAGAACTAAAGAATAGGGAAGAATTTACATGGCAAAAGGACCAACATGTACAAAGACATCTGGAAATTGCTGAGGGGTGGGTGATTTCAAGATGGGCAAGGAGGTATAATGAAAATGATAGATGAAGATAGACAAGTAAGCAGAGGTCAAATTTTGCATGGTTTTTGTGCTGTATAGAAAGTTTAGATTTTATCCAGTGAGTGATAGAAACTTGAAAAAACTTTGACAAAGGAAATGACAGCCTATTGAAGTTTTAGGAAGATCATGCTGGCTTCAGCACAGAGAATGAAATTGGCAAGGACCAGAAGGATATTGTAGGCTTGGACTAGTTAGATGAGTAGCGTTGAGAATGGGCTGTAGGACGAGGGTAGATCAGAGAGTTGCACTGAATATAGATAGGCTAAGTAGAGTGGTTGATGGATAGAATGTAAATGTGTGGAAGGAGAAGACCTCTGTTTCTTAAATGTCCTCCTTTCTCATCTCCATCAGAAGTCCTTTTTATTCTTAAAAGAAACCAACAAAACAGTTTAAAGACCATTTTCCAGTAAGCCTTATAGCATCCATATTCCTATCATATGATGTAAAAATGTCTACCTAGATTTTTGGTTATTTATTTCTCATTAGAGTTTAAGCCTGAAAATTTTGTGTCTTTTGATTACTGTCCCTTGTTGATACCCTAGGTCATTTCAAAAAGCAAGTGCTCAGTAAGCTCCTATTTGAGTGAACTAAATTGAAAGGTTGGTGTCTGACTTAACTTTGAACTTGTAAGAAGCCAGTTGGGCTTCTTTATAAGCTTCTAACTTTGGTGTCTTGGAGTGGGTTATGAGAATTAATGAATAAGCTGTGAGACCTGCTGGAACCATTAGCTCCACGATATGTAGTCAACTAATTTGATTCCATTACTTTGGATCTTTTACCCTTATTGATGTATTTAATAGTTGCTTGGAGTGGGACTCCTGATCCGGTTACATTTTTCCTTAGGCTACCAGCTGTCTTCCCTTAGTGTATTCTCATGCAAAGAGAGTCCTTTGACCTTTCCCCCTTAAGGTTAAAGTGGGTGAAAAAACCTAGTGGGTGAAAAGGCAAAAATAGGGAAAAGATGACAGATGGGGTGAGAGAAAATTTGGATAATTTATCTTTTTTATTGTTCCTACTGGGAACTAAAATCTTCCCTTGGATTAAATTTATAATCTCTTCTAGAGGTAGAAAATGCTTTACAGCTCTTTTAAAAAACGTGACTCTTTAGACCAACCTGACAGAGATTCCACTTTGTTCTTAATAGAGAAGAGTTATAACAATGACACAATTCTTTAAGGTTAAGTATTTTAGTTAAGTATTTTTTAGAGTATGCCATATGAATAAATTCAAGGAATAATAGAAGATTTAGCAATATCAAATAAATAATGAGCTAATTTGGCAATGTTTCTCTTTGTGAAAACTGCTCACAAAATCTGACTGGTAATTTTGCATAACCCATATGGGGGAATAATAAATTTTTAAGCACAAGGTCAAGTTTTTTCATGTGAAAATTTCTTTAGTTTGGGACACAGTTCATATTGGGATTCATTTCAGAAAAATTCTGTGGATGAAATTTGTTAATATTATGCGTTTTCTTTTGGTAATCAAGAATGGTTGGACGTAGTATATTATTCTCTGAAGGAATATGATTTTTTATTGAAAACTTATTTGAAATGCACATTTTGATTTATTGTTGAATCCCCCCTCACCCCATAAGAAAAGAAGAAACAGATGTAGATATTGACTGTATTTATGCTGTATACCTCCCACACTGCTATCAGTTTTTTTAAACATGGAATTTCTTTAGAGATTAAAATTTTTCCCCACTGGGGAAAAATTCCCTGGAGATCTACCTGATTCTTATGGGTTCAGTGTTTCCACAGAAGTTGTGTCTCTTTTATTCAGAAAATCAAATCCATAGAGGTGACTGGCCTTGCAATGCCCGTGTGCATAAAATTGAATTAATAACAAAAAAGTTTTTTCACCTTAGAGATTCTTAATGTCATAGTGAATCGTTCAAATTTATGTATTTTCACTGGTCTCTTTGGTCTCTGCTTAATTTATTTAAATTAATTTTTTTTTAATTTTGGCTCTTCTGGCTAAAATTTTTTTTCTTGGTTAAATCTTAAGTCTTCCTGTCTGTAGGAGAGTGGAAGTTTAATAGTTAAAAGTGCTTTTGATTTTTAATTTAACTGTCATTTTGATGGTTTTACTATTCAACTACATGTAACTTAATTTGTATTTGCAAGCAAGAAAAAATTTCTTTAATTAAAAGGAAAATGCTATTAATGATTAACATCTTTTCATCAAAGCCATTTTCATTTGAAATACAAAATTTGGTGAAAAAATTTTCTTACACTTTAAGACTTTATTAAGTTGCTGTTTTTGTTCACTTGGGTATAAAAATGAGATTTAAGCATTAGATGGTTGGTTTTCTTTTAACTAAATACACAGTTAATGTGCAGTTAAGAGTGGGCCTATTCCAAAAAAAAATACTTAAAAGTTAATCACTTAAACATCACATTATATACTCTTGATTTGTTTACACTTTTTTTTTTTTACCACAAGTGTGTGTCACTTACATAATTTGAAAAGCAAGTTTAATAAAAATGAAATGTGGAAACTTTCACAATCAAGGAAAACTTTTTTTTTTTTTTAAAGATTTTTATTTATTTATTTGACAGAGAGAGACACAGCGAGAGAGGGAACACAAGCAGGGGGAGGGGGAGAGGGAGAAGCAGGCTCCCCACTGAGCAGGGAGCCCGATGTGGGACTCGATCCCGGGACTCCAGGATCATGACCTGAGCCGAAGGCAGTTGCTTAACTGACTGAGCCACCCAGGCGCCCGCAAGGAAAACTTTTTAATTCCATGCAATGACCTCAATCTTTTCGAAACTAAAATTGTGGGATTTTAGTACATATTAATAATGTTTGGATTCTGTACTTTATATCTAATTGATGTGTAATAAAGGTTAAAGAATCTAATACATGCATGCCTTATTATAATAACAGAAAAAGGATAAGATCAACTCAGAAAATATTTTCTCAAAGATATTATAACAGTAATGGTCTGGTTATACCCTGCAAAAAGAAATCAGTGTTTTGGATAGTTCAGGGTCAGAGATGCATATTTTATTATATAATATACGTATTTACACATGTGCTCATACATAAATTGAAGCAAAAAATTGCACAAAACTAATGTGAATTTACTCATATTTTCTACTCTGTTCTCCCCTCTCCGCCCCCCCCCCCCCCCCCCGCCCAGGTCACAACCTAAGGAATTTATTTCATGAACACTAATGACCTTTAGTTTGTAAAACACTGATTTAAACCATAACATAGCTCAGCTCTTGTTCTATAGAACCTACTTATTTGTGATGTTTCAGATTTCACTTGGGGACACACAAGAACACCTTTCCCTCAATAAATGCCGGTGTTAAATCTCATCCCTTGAACACAGCAGAGGAAGTGGTGATGGTAGGGTATGTGTATGCATGTGTAAATGGAGAGTATGCCCCAGCAGTGGCAGAGAGAGGACAGAAATACTAGGCCATTTTAACAATGGCAAGGGGAAAAAGTGAAGTTCTTACAGTGTTCTCAGCTGAAACCCCACTTTGATCTATTGTAATATATATTCATAAATTAGCTATATCCATATTTATATTTGAGGTATACCTACATGTCTGCACTATGACTAGTAACCATGTAATAATAGTAGTAAATGACTAATATTTATTAGTGCTTACTATGTGCTAGAATGTCTTAAGTGTTGTGTATATATTAACTAATGTACTTCTCACAACCCCATGCAGTATTAATAAACTCAGAGAAGTTAAATTATTAGCTTAATTAAGATCACATAGCTAATTTAACAGGTAACCAAACATTGAGTTTTTTGACTACATGTATGTAAATAATGCATCGACATCATCTATGTGGTCTATACATAAATACCTAATAGATTTTCATCATACTTCTTTTTTTTTTTAAAGATTTTATATTTTCATCATACTTCTATTTTTCTTTGCCTGTAATTGTCAGCCTTCCCCCTCCCTTGAGGAAAATACTTTGGTTCCCTTTCCTAGGTGTTCTTTATGTAAGTGCAGTGGAATTAATTTTGGGTAATATACTATGTGTTTATTAAATTTAATAAATTTAATCATACATAGATATATGTAATAGATTGGTGAACTCATTTATTTTACTAAGTAAATTATTTTACTAAGTAGAAAAATAATTGTGATTATCTTTTTTCTTTAGTGGTCTGGAATTTTTTTTTTTCTAATTTCCATGACATATATAGAATTTTTTCTAAGTATATGACTGAAATGCTGCTACACTTTTACATTAGCTTTGGCCTGAATAAAAATGTATACACTTATTTTGCAGAGCAAAGCTAAGCTTTTAATTGAAAACTGCTGTTCTTACCAATATATTTTTTCTTATTTTTATTGCTTTTTGCTCAGAAATTTCTACTACTCTAGATGTGCACATTCACAACTTTCATTCCAGAGTAATAATAGCAAACATTAACTGATAGTTTACAATGTGTCAGACACTGTTAGAAGTGCTTTAATGTGTATTGATTCATTTATTCCTATGACAATCCTATGTAGTAAATATTTTCATTTCGTATTTTCACTTGAGAAAGATTTTAGGCACAGAAAGGTTATTTGTCCAAGGTCCCATAGCCTGTTATTTTAAGAGCCAGCATTTATATCTGGGTACATAGACCCAGGGTCTGTGCCCTTACCTGTGATGCTGTTCTGTCTCTGGACTTTAGAAATTTCTATTCTAAATAATGATGTGAAAAAATTTTAGTCTAAATAGGAAAAAAATTAAAATTAAGCCAAAATATATCCTTTTATTTCATTTTTTATCGTAACCTTTTCCCCTGGAAAGTCCATGTTAAAATTTCTTGTTTTTTTTGTTTGTTTGTTTTTGTTTTCCCTGCTGGAGAAACCTGTAACATTTGTACAGAATTTAGATATGTATTCAGATTATAATACAAATCTCAGTATGACTCTGGATGTCTGTGCATTATACCAGTTCATCTTTTCCTTTTCCTGCTTTCTTTGATACTTCCTGTATGTGTTGACTTTAGCAGTTTAGCGTTAAGCATGCATCAAGTACAGGTGATTTACTTGTTTTCTAATGTCTTATAAGTTGGAGAGATCTTACATGAATATGCTGTAGTGAAGTACAGGTTTTGTTGAGTAATCTAGATATGTGGTACCATTTCCAGATTACTTTCTGTGGGAAGATAGATAAAACTGTTACATATTATGAGAAACATAAGTATATTATTTTGCCTTTTTAAGGTATTTTTAAAAGGACTGTCAAATCTGAAAATTTCTTTCTATTTATGCATATACATAGTAAAAGTGAAGTATAAAAACAGTAATCTTAAGTGATGAGTAGAACTTTTGATCAAAGTCAATTTTAAATTGAAAAATATATATATTTTATTTTATTCAAAGATTTTATTTATTTATTTGATAGAGAGAGATAGCGAGAGAGGGAACACAAGTAGGGGGTAGGCCAGAGAGGGAGAAGCAGGCTGGAGAGGGAGAAGCCCAACTGGGATCATGACCTGAGCGGAAGGCAGACACTTAATGACTGAGCCACCCAGGCGCCCCCAAAATATATATATTTGATTATTTTTTCTTTTTATTGTTATGTTAATCACCATACATTACATCATTAGTTTTTAATGTAGTGTTCCATGATTCATTGTTTGCGTATAACACCCAGTGCTCCATACAGAACGTGCCCTCCTTAATACCCATCACCAGGCTAACCCATCCTCCCACCTCCCACCCCTCTAGAACCCTCAGTAAGTTCAGAGAATTTGCCAACAGAATTTTAAGCAAATTTACCCAAAGTCTTGATTTTTTTTTAAAGATTTATTTATTTATTTGATAGAGAGAGTGAGCACAAGCAGAGTGAGTGGCAGGCAGAGGCAGAGGGAGAAGCAGGCTCCCCGCTGAGCAGGGGGAGCCCCATGTGGGACTTGATCCCAGGACTCCGGGATCATGACCCCAGCCGAAGTCAGTTGCTTAACCAACTGAGCCACCCAGGCAACCAAAGTCTTGATTTTTAAAATGTGTAAACATGAATAATTTTTTTTTTTTAATGACCCAAGTTTTCAAGGAAAGCAGTGAGATCAAAGTAGTAAGTCTTGAAGTTTATCAGAGATACATATTTAGGTAAACTTTTTTCTACTTTTGTGTGTGGGTATGTGTATTAAATATGTTATTAATCATGAGATTTTATTCAGCTGTCAAATTTCAGTCACTGTGTACTAAATGTACTGAATTTAATTTTAATTTATCTCTTTTTATAGGGAAATATGAGAGCCACACACGTGTTCACACAGGTGAGAAGCCCTTTGAGTGTGATATTTGTCACCAGCGCTATTCAACAAAGTCTAACCTAACTGTTCACAGAAAGAAGCACAGTAATGAAACAGAATTTCATAAGAAGGAGCACAAGTGCCCTTACTGTAATAAACTTCATGCAAGCAAGAAGACTTTAGCCAAGCATGTTAAGAGGCAAGTATTATCTTGCTTCCATAATATACTTTATGGTGCCTTCTAATTTAAATATGGAGTAAGCTAAAAACATCCATGGAGTGCTTGTCTCCGATTCTTTCTTTGCTTAATATTTTCCGAACAATTTTTATTGCAAATATATTTGATTACAGATTTATTAAGAGCAATAAATGTTAGTTCGTTTTTTATTAATGCTATTGAGATGAAGTTTTTTGATGTTGAAACAAGAACTATAGAGGTTTAAGACAGCATTTTGGTTATCCTGTTTTTTATTTTGGGTTTTGGCAAGTATATTTTCAAAATATATGGTTTTAGAACTCTAGGAAACTTACTCCTCATGCTCAACTTTGTCTTTAGTGTATAAAAATTTGTGAAAGAAAGCATGTTTAGTACAGTATTGCATATTTAATTTTAAGAAAGGAAATTTACTGAAATTTGGATCAAAAAAAAGTCAAGTGAATTACCTTGAAGATTATCTGTGAATAGCTAGGTTCCTGAATATATTTAAAATATTAGACTTTCCTTTGGCTTTTTCTGCATAAATTTAGACATACACATTTTTAAATGTTAGCAATACCTATATTCTTAAGGTATTTACATGTGCCTGTCTCTTTATGAAAGGAATCAGTGCCTGATTCTTATAATCACTGTTGACAGATCATATGGAATATGGACTTGACTAATATAATCTTTTCCTAATAGTCTTTTTTTTCTTGTAGATTTCACCCTGAAAATGCACAAGAATTTATTTCCATTAAGAAGACCAAGAGTGAAAGTTGGAAATGTGACGTAAGAGCTTTGAATTTGTAGTAGAAAGCCAAAATAAATGAAATGTTACCTTTGGGGAAAGTAATTAGATTTTAGAGTAATGTAAACCTAGCTCATCTCACTTTTAGAATCCTTCTGTTACACAAAGTTATCCTAATATTTGTAAATTAGGCCCCATAGAGGTTAGTTTTTAGATGGTGGGCCTGATGGAAATCTTAGCTTTTATTTTTAATGTAACCACCATACCATGTGCTTATATTTGTGTACATAAACTGACATGCTGTGTGAGTAGGAATTAAAATGTTAGAATGTCCCCCCCACTTCTGGTTATCTGTCTCAAATCTTAGTGGTCTTTAGCAACCGTTTTATTACATGCCACCGTTTTGTGGGTCAACAGTTACATTTGGAGCGCAGCTTTGCTAGCTGATTCTGTTCCACATGGTGTCACCTGCAGTCACTCAGTTGTTTCCAGCTGCTGTAAGTGGTCTGGTTTGCTCTGGAGCCACTTCCAAGTGTCCCACTCACACGACTGGAACTTGGTGTTGGCGGCCGACAAAGGGCTCAGCAAGGACAGTTGGCCAGGGACCTTGATTCTTCTCCACAAGTAGTCTCTTCCTGAGGCTGCTTGCTCTTCTTTCTGTCATGGTAGCTAAGCTCAAAGAAGCCTAGATAAAAACTGTCAGACTTTTTTTTTTAAATATTTATTTGTTTTTAGAGCAAGAACACGTGTGAGTCGAGGGGGAGGAGCAGAGGGGAAGGGAGAGAATCTCAAGCAGACTCCCCACCAAGCACAGAGCCCGGCGTGGGGCTCAGTCCCATGACCCACGATCACAACCAGAGCTGAAATCAGGAGTCAGATGCTTAACCAACTGAGCCACCCAAGCACCCCAAAACTGTCAGACTTTTTATGGCCTAGCTTCAGAAATCAGACCGCATCACTTTCAACACATTCTGTTGTTCAGTCACTACAGCCAGGTCAGATTTAAGGGGATGGGGATTAGTTTTTCCTTTTCCAGTAGTAGCAAAGAATTTTTAGATATCCTGCCACACCCCCTAATACTTTTTTCATTATATAGGTAAATATTGTTTGAAGGAGTCACAAGCTATCATTTGTCTTCCTTATTTTCAGGCTTCAGTTTATGTATACAACAAAATTGTTACCATTTCTCTGATTTCAGCTTCTAGGGATTGAAGTTAATTATTAACTATTTGAATCTACATAAGCTGCTTTCTTCTCCTTGCTAAGCTTCATCATCCTCAGCTATAAAATGATTATAATAATTATATCTACCTCATAGGATTATTGTGAGAAGTAAAATAAACCATGAATTATTTAGCGTTGTGCCTGGTGTATAGTACATGCTATAATTATTGTTGTTTTGTTATTGTTGTTGTTGTCGTCATTGTGATAGCAGCCCCTTCTCCCCCAACTTTTTTAATAAAAAAAAAATTAAGACTTTATTTTTTAGAGCAGTTTAAGTTTTATAGCATAATTTTTGAGGAAAGATAGTGATTTCCCATATACCCCTGCCTCCACAAATGCATAGTCACCCCCCATTATCAGCATCCCCCCAAAGTGATATATCTGTTACAATGATGAACCTACATTGACCTCCCCCTTTTTAAATCTCATGCCTGCCAGATTTCTTTAAAAAGTTGTATCTCTTCCTTTTGACCACTTTAAGAGATAAATGCTAAAATTATTTTTCTGTGGTTTCTTATTCTTATTCCTAATTAAATATATGGCAACAATAATAAAACATTTTATTCATGACATATAAGTGATTTAAAATACAAATTTAATGGATTTTAGAAATGTTGACTAGACTTAAGATACTAAGATTGCTGTGTAATCCTAGAAATTAGCTTATTCGAAATGTAAGGAGTTGAAATTCAGCTACCTTTAGTACAAATTTAAAATAATTCCATACTATAGTTCCTCCAAGGCATTTTTTTCTGCACAATGAGAAATTGATTATACTTTTGGTAACTTTTCTGTTGGGAGAAATTTCTCTCTAACTACTTGAATTTATATGTTTATTTCACATCATGAACTTGGTATTTTAATTTTTAATTCAGGCTCCCTTACATTTTGTGTACATTTTCTATTAGATTTGTAAGAAATCTTTTACTCGAAGACCACACTTGGAGGAACATATGATTCTACATTCTCAAGATAAACCTTTTAAGTGTACCTATTGTGAAGAACATTTCAAATCACGATTTGCACGGTTAAAGCATCAAGAAAAGTTCCATCTGGGTAAGCAAATTACTTTTTCTAAGAGCAGTCATAGCAGTTATTTTTTAAGTAATTTTTTTTAAGATTTTGTTAATTTATTTTAGCGGGGGAGGGGCAGAGGGCGAAGGAGAGACTCTCAAGCAGACTCTGTGCTGAGTGCGGAGCCCGACATGGGGCTCCATCTCACAACCTGAGATCATGACCTGAGCCAAAATCAGGACTCAGACGCTCAACTGAATGAGCCACCCAGGCACCCCAGTCATAGCAATTATTGATTATCACATCATGCTAGAGGAGCCTGCTGCTGTTGAACCACTTTAGGAGAAGGAAGTCAGATAAATTGGGAGGAACACTGGATTTGCTGCTATTCCTGCAGATGAGCAAATATGTTTATTTTCTGTTTTGGTGGCAGATGTGTCTGTGGTCATAAACTGCATTTATTCACAGTTGATTGTTGGGTAGGTCTGTGAGTGCTTGAATAAAGCATTTTTGTTTTGGAAAAACTCATTTTTCAGGGAATGAAATGAACCTAGTATATGTGGCATTCAGTATTGTATTTGACGAATCCTCTGTCTAATGCTTATGGTCACAATGGAAACTTGTGTGCTAGATGGTAGTACAATTAGGTACATTTGTGACAGTTAATACTGATAGGGAATTACTATCATCCAAAGTAGAGGCTATTTGCTCTGCAGCATTGGTGATATAGTGGTGAGCATAGCTGCCTTCCAAGCAGAAGGCAGCCTTTTCCCTGTCCTGATCAATGTTTTCATTGACAGATGAAAATAGATACTTAATGTTTATAAAATTTGTAGATGACATAAAGCTGGCAGGGGTAGTTGATATGGCAGGAAATAAAAATGTAAAAAAAAAATCTTTGTGCTATGGAAAAGGTTAAAACAAATTAAGTTAAAATTAAGAGTAAATACAAAGTCATAAACATGGGAATTATCTGACTTGTAGTCATTGGGGATTGCAGAACTGTAAAATGGTACAGAATCCAAACTCTTCTATTTACAGATGGACTTAAAAGCAGAAGCTTTTTAGGCACAATCTGAACCAATAATATCATATGACTGACAAAAACCACTGTAGTTTTAAACTATGTTAATAAAAATCTGTTGTTCAAAATCAGGGAGGTAATTATCTCACTGATTTTAAATTCATCTGTAATATTGCATTCATTTCTGGATACCACATTCAAGATGGATATTGACAAGTACATTCTCAAGAGGTGGGTAATTACAGTGACCCAGGGTCTTAAAATTACATGAAAGAACCTTGAAATATTTTGTCTGGGAAAGGTAGAACAATTGTGCAATAAGGAACCTTTCATCTTTGCAATTCTAGTATATAAGACATGTATGCTGGAAGATTATTTTCTTACTACTTTTTGAATTGCCTTTAGTAAGTTGTTCTATCAGAGTATTTCATCAGCATTTCTAAGAAGCCATCATATGAGGCAGTTTTTATACTTACTAGAACTGTAGTTGGAGACATGTTCATGATCGCATGAGGCATGTGAGAAATTTCTTTATACATTAGTTCCAGGAAAAAGAATTTCTCCTGGGAAATTGGTGGGCTTCTTCCTTTTTGAGATGAAAACCATAGGTAATCTTTTTTTGTCCCATGTTATAGAAACATCATAGCAAAATATAATAATTTTTATGGTTAACATAGTTGCTTCCACTTCTTTTTCTGTTCCTGATTTTCTCTTTCAACATTTGTTAAATACATCATTTAGTAAATACATAGGCATTCTAAGAATATTAAGTGGATATCCTAAGGTATAGGTTTAGTTTCAATTTAGAAATTTTTTAAAGTATTGGAACTTATAAATTGAAGTAGCTTATCTTGCACAAAAGTTATTTTCCTGTCAGTAAAATTATACAAGCAGATCCTTGAACTGATAACAGAATTGTTGAAGAAAGCATTCCTCAAAAGATGGTTGAATTAGAACTCTGTGTGCATATGTTTTATATATGTATAATATATGTATATATATATAATATGTAGTATATACATTTTGTGTATACACATATCACACCTCTATGCTTCTGTTTACTTGAATCACTGTATGCTAGGTGAGTGGTTCAGGTCTGAGGTATGGCCCAAGAATTTGCATTTCTAACACATTCCCAGGTTGATGCTGATGATGCTGGTCCACATACCACACACCTGTGTATTACTGCTTTAGGTTATTCAAAGACATACGTACACTACCTACATTAGGATTATATATTCTGTAAATCAGAGGGAGATATTTCTAAGAAATACTCTGAACAGTTAGGGTAGAAGATTAATATATTTCTGTGTATAAGTATAAAAATCATAGTTGGCTTTAAAGTCAAATCTTCTAATTTTATCCTATTTAGAGAGTTGGCATGAAAACTGCTTTAGTACCTTCCCAGCATAGCTTCATAAATACAAGTTCAAAGAGGTTTAGCTGCATGCAAAACTGGGTATCTAATATAGGGGAAAGAACGTAGGTATTTCCTTTGGAAAACTGGTAAGTAACTGAACATGAAGGAGAATGCTCCTTTCTTTCTCACTCAGCTAGAGCCTTCAAAAATAGGTATAGTTATTTCACTCTTTGCCTAATATACACTTGCCATAATGTACTCATCTTGGCACTTTTTGCTTTTATTTGTTTCATCTATTTATCTTTAGCTGTGCAAATGCTGAATCTCCTTTTTTCCACCTTCTTGGAGGTTTTTTTTGGGGGGGGGAGGGATGTAAGGAGGTGAGGGATTTTCCATAACACTGCTTCACTTAACCCAGTGTTAGATATGAATTAAGAATCAATAAATACTTGTTGAATTAGTTAATAAATGAATAAAAGGCTCAGATCTCATGAAAGAGGAAATATTAGAGATTTTAAATGAGAGTATGTTAAAGATACTTAATACATTTTGAGGTCATCTCAAAAACATGTTGAAACTCGCCCAAAACTACTGTGGCTACTGAACAATTCTGCTTATAGATATGCTTCTGAATTTCAGTGTCCAAATGCCATTTTTTTCCATTGTTCTATTATAATTAATTTCTCATTAGAGTTCACCGTAGAGTCTACAGTATTTTCAACCTAGGCAGCATCATTAAAAATTTGTGGTTTGGGGGAACAACAGTTCATTTCCAGTTTATGAACTCTCTGAAGTCCTTTGTTTATTCTTCCAAAGTTTCTCAGTACCTTCTTTTCCCAGAAATCTGGTATATAACGTTTTTTACTTTGTTCCAGTCTGATTTCAAACTAGGAACTGGCCATTTCAATTTATTAACCCATTAGATTATACAGCATTACTATATTAGATGCCACACTGTAAACTCAGCTCTAGGCATATAGGGATGATAGAGAAGGCAGGTGTAACTTGCCTTCTAGGAATAAATAATCTAGAAGAGAAGAGAAAACTATAAATGAATAACTTCATTGTGTTATAATATATGCACTTACAGTGGTAGATATATATTCATAACATACCTATCCTATTAAATTTAACTTAGTATCTATTCTTTAAACTTTAAATATATATTCTTTCCTTTTTAGGTCCTTTTCCATGTGATATATGTGGTCGCCAGTTTAATGACACTGGAAATTTGAAACGCCATATAGAATGTACCCATGGTGGAAAGAGAAAATGGACTTGCTTTATCTGTGGAAAATCAGTACGAGAAAGGTGAGGAATTTACTACACACCCAGAAAAATCCTGGTAACTGTTATATAGAAATAATTAACGAGTATAGTTTATAAGGATTAGGGTAATACAAGATATAAGATACTTAAAATTATACTTTAATTTGAAATTTAAGGACAGAAGAAGAAATTATGTAAAATGCTATAGAAGATGATATAAAGTCAGGATTTGCAGGTTTAGATGGTAAATTTCACATAGATACAACTTTGTCTCTTTCTGAAACCCCACTAAAACTACATTAAAGGTTATTGATTGATTTAAAAGACAGTAAGCTACAAAGACAGGAAGAACAGAAATGTGACAAGAGCAACACAGATTCGGGAGCTAGAAAGCAGGTGGATCAGTGGGAACTGACTTAGCAGATCTAAGAAAGACAAATCCCAAGGTGGCAATGGAGAAATCGAGAACATAGTTTACATCATAGAATCCACAAAAGGTGTAGGAGTGGGCAGTATCAGATACCTCTGGAACTAGGGCAAAGGAGAGGCAGAACAGGGAGCACTTAAGTAAAAACTTCTTTAGAAGTTAGATTATTTGGATTTTTTTCTGCCACCCACACAGGTCATTGCTGCTGAGCACCTACCCCTATCCCTATTTAGCAGATATCTGGACTGGAGTATACCATGTTGTTATATGATGAATGCATTCTGAATGCTGAAAGCAGTGAGCCACAGGCCTTATCCCTGCTGATGTCTTGGATTTTAGATTTTACCCCCCAGGCATTAGATTAGAGAACAATTCCTTGAAAATCTGAGCACCCAGAGGGCAAATATATTCCATAACAAATAGTACACTCAGGTCACCTGCTGTGAAGCCTAGTCATCAGGGCCCACTTATGCATGCTCTTTGATTGTGCCATCTACTTTTTAGTCTATCACATGTAATCATGGACAGAAGAATTAAACACAGAACGAAATCATTTAACATGGAAGCTAGATTCTAACACAGTTCGGGAAGAAAAAACAATCTTGAAGGAAACATTATTCAAAAAGAAGAAAACTTTCAAAAAAAGAAATAAACAACTGGTTGCTTCATGAGAAATATTCATATTATGAATATCCCCAGTTGAAGATCTAGAATCCATTAGACAAGAACAGGGTGCTATAACAAATCAGAGCTCCCAGAAATTCAAGGCATGATAGACAAAGTAAAGACCCTAATGGAAGGATTGAAGAACAAAGTTGAGGGAATCTCCCAAAAGGTAGAGCAAAAAGGTACAGAAGTGTAAAATAAGGATTAGAACATTAGAGAACCAGTCAAGAGGTCCAGAAAGAAAGAGCGAACAATGAAAATAGCAAAGGAAAATATCGTCACTGAATAATTCAAGATAATTTCCCAGAACTGAAGGACATGAGTTGCCAGACTAAAATTACCCATCAAATGCTTAGGACATTGGATGAAAATAAACCTACTCCAAGATACATCACTGTGATATTTCAGAACACTGGGGACAAAGAGAAGCTTCTGTATGCTTCTGATTGTTCAGGGAAAACTACATATGTTGAATTATGAATTAGAATTACTTGGACATCTCTCTGAACAGCAACACTAGAAATAAGATGATACAGTTTTACTTTGAAGATTCATAAAGAAAATTATTTCCAGCCTAGAATTCTGTTCTTAGTCAAACTAACAATCAAGTCTGAGGATCATTGACATTTTTCATGCTATCAAAAAGTTGGCCTTTGATGTTCTCTTTCTCATGAAGCAACTAAAGGGTATGCTTCACCAGAATGAGAAAGTAAACTGATGAAGAGGAAGACAAGGGCTATAGGAAATAGAAATTCTGATACTGGAAAGAGGCAAAAGGAATTCATAGGAGGATGGTGCATGAAGTTTCCAGGTTGTGAGATGTGCAATATATGTGTAACAATGGGTAGTCAGTCCGCACTAGTAGTAGTGATGCCCCATGACAGATTGAGGGTTGTCACTGCTAAGATCCCTGCTGGCATGTTTCCTCTTTTAACTAGGGGACAGGATGTGAGAGTAGGTCTGACCCCAAAATTTATTTTTTATTTTCTATGGTAAGAACATTTAACATGAGATCTACCTTCTTAACAAATGTTTAAGTGCACAATACAGTATTGTTATTAAGTTACAATACAGTATTAAGTTATTAATACAGTATTATTATTGTGTTAAGGCACAATGTTGTACAGCAGACCTCTAGAATTTACCCATCTTGCATAACTGAGACTTCATACCCATTGAATAGCAGCTCCCTGTTTCCCTCTCCCTGATTCAAATTCTTATCTATACTCTGCCACTAGTACCTGTATGCTAGTATACTATTGTACTATAATACCATTGTACTATTATATTTTTGCCTTGCTACTTGATTTAACTGAGAACACTTGTTTCATTTCACAGAAATATTCTTTTTTGACCTATCTGTGAGAATTAGAGGTAGTTCATAGTAAGTTTAGAAGCAAAATATATACATCAGCCTTTTTACTTTGGCTGTATTTCTGCCAGACTTCTAGTACCTGATCCATTCGAGATTGTCAGATTCTCAGATTGTGATGAGCCCTCTTTTCCAGTATTTATTTATTTTTTTATTTTTTTAACTTTTTTATTTATTTATTTATTTTATTTTTTGAGAGAGAGAGAATGAGAGACAGAGAGCATGAGAGGGAGGAGGGTCAGAGGGAGAAGCAGACTCCCTGCCGAGCAGGGAGCCCGACGCGGGACTCGATCCCGGGACTCCAGGATCATGACCTGAGCCGAAGGCAGTCGCTTAACCAACTGAGCCACCCAGGCGCCCTCCAGTATTTATTTATGACTTTACCCGCTGACATGTTGGAAAGGACTCTTGCCAATGCTCAGGCAAGCTACAGCCAGACTTTGATAAAGAGACCATGTTCATACTATCTTGTGGCTCTTTAGCTAATAGTGGCAATATTGTTAGATTTGTGCTTGCTACTTGGTTTTTCAAAAATATACAGTATATTGTTTAGTGATATATACTACTAAGTAGTAAAACAAAGAAGAAAGGGAATAGTTAACATAAATGGTTATCTGAGAGATGAAGGAGGAACATGTAGAGGCATTCTAAGGTATAGCAATATTCTAGGTCTTATCCTGCATTTAAGTGTAATAATAGCATTCTTTGAACAATATGTATACATTTTATATCCTTCAGTATATAAAAGTTCCATAATTTTAAAACATTAGAAATGCCACATTCTTAAAATATCAAATTGATATGATGGTAAAATAGGAAAACCAATATGCTACACTTGATCTTAGCCTACAGATGGATACAGTTTATTTTATGCATTATACATTCTTTTTTCTTAAAGGTCTTTCTATAAAAACAAAAAGCAAACCAAAAACTAAAACAATCTCTCCATCTTTTTACTTTAAATTACTTAGTAGGTAGGGGTCTCGGAATAGTTTTAGCGATAATTTCCACAAAGCAGAATGTACCTGCAGACGCACCTGTCCAGTGTTGGTGGGCCTTGTGGAAGAGCACCATCTACTGGCGTAGATCTGCCTTCATTTCAGGTTCAGCCTTAACACTCACTAGATGTGGGATTAAAATAAAAACCAAGTAGTAGAAACAGTCAAAAGCCTGCAAAGGTCAGACACATTGCCTGTTCTTTCTTTCCTCCCAAAGTAACTTTGTCTGTCCTTACTCAGCACTTTACATATGTAGGAAATCTCCGAGTGTTCGAACTATAGGAAATGCTGCTATGTATTTGGAGCAGCGGTGGTTATACACTAGCCTGCCAGAAGTTCAGAAACAACAGAAGCAAAACCAGTGAATTACCAAAGCAGTAATTAGTAAAAGCTTATTGTGCATGTGTAAAAAGACAGTTTGCAAACCAGGAGCACTCAAACCAGAACACAGAATGAGACTCGGCTATATTGTTACATGCAGCTTAAAAATGAGAAAGCAGTGACTGTTTATTCTTCACAGTGGTTGGTTGTGACATTAGGATTTTCTTAAGTGATAGGGAATTGGTAAATGGTTACCTCACATCAACCTTGGGAAACAGTTTAAGTTTTGCCTATGATTTTCAGAGGCATAAACAAATGACCCAGGACAAGTTATCCTTGCAAAATAAGCTATATTAGGCTTTGCTTATGGGACTAAACTGGTTTTGTTTGTTTGGGGAATTTTCAAGGCTGGTCTCTGTTTTTTATTTTAACAAGTCCATCCCAGGTCAGTAGGACTGGAAGATTTAGGAATGACCGTAATTGTATTCTTTATATGGTTTCCCCTTTTCACATTGGCATCTGGAAGTTACAAGTACCTGTAAAGCTTTCTTTGCCTTAAAACATTCTTTTCACAGATACTGAGCACATATTTGAAAGGAATAGTACTGATAAACTGGGTTGGCTTATATATTATTAAATTTTCTCTGTTAAAATTCACATCAGTTTTACTTAATGCAGTAGTAACAATTGAGCATTTTTCATTGTACTCCTTGATAGCTGCTTAAGCTATATAGTTAAATCTTTGAGCAAACTGATGGCAAAGGAAGCCAAAGTTAATTTTGTGTGTGTGTGTGTGTTTAAAGAAGAGAGACAGGGCTCCTGGGTGGCTCAGTTGTTAAGCGTCTGCCTTCGGCTCAGGTCATGATCTCAGGGTCCTGGGATCGAGTCCCGCATCGGGCTCCCTGCTCCTTGGGAGCCTGCTTCTCCCTCTGCCTCTCTCTCTGTCTCTAATGAATAAATAAATAAAATCTTTAAAAAAATAAAATAAAAAAAAATAAAGAAGAGAGACAAAGCAGGCGGGATTATATGCTGGTGAGACTAATCCAGTAAAAAGCAAAAATACTGTAGGAGAAAGGGAAAATTGTCATAATATCTGTTAGCTTGAATACCTTTCTAGTAAGCTTTCTGAATACCGTGTTTGAGAGAGAGAGAGAGAGAAATTGCAAGCAGGGGAAGGGGCAGGGGAAGAGGGGGAGAGAGAATCTTAAGGAGACTCCACGTCCACCATGGAGCCCTATGCAGGGCTTGATCTCACAACCCTGAGATCATGACCTGACCTGAAATCAAGAGTAAGATGCTTAACTGACTGAGCCACCCAGGCACTCCTGGAAACCTATGTTTAATATAAATAATGACATTAAAAAAGTCTCTAGATAAATGTATATTTTTTAACACAGAACTACTTTGAAAGAACATTTGAGAATCCACAGTGGAGAAAAACCTCATCTTTGTAGTATTTGTGGGCAAAGTTTCCGTCATGGAAGTTCATACAGGTAAGTCAAGCCATTTTTCCCCTATATTAGGTAAGATAAATTATTTTAATTCTGTTTTATCATTGCATTAGTTGTTTATTGAATTAAAATATTTCTTAGCACTTACAGTAAACAAAATTATACAAAATTTACAGACTTTTCCCCCACATTACAACTTTTAATAGTCTTTATTCTATAGTACAAAATATTAAATATTTCATCACCAAGTTTGCTAAATGCTTTACTGTCCAAGTCACTGTCATTTAAATGTTTATTTCATTACTTTTCTTTGATTCAAAACTCATTAAAACTCTGATATTCTAACCTTAGTGTATTTCATTACTCTTGATTATCAAAAAAATATTTTGGTATGAAATATGGCAAAATTGAGAACTCTAGGACTCTCAGTTTTGGAAAGTCTTCTGTGTATTAGTTGTAACCTGTGTAACTGTTTTTATAGCTGAATCCTTGACCACATTTGAAGTTTATGAAAAGTTGACTTTTTCCTGAATAATTGATTAAGTGACTGCCTACTGTGAGATGTGTACATTTTACATGTTTATTAATGCTCTTAGGGTTTTTAATCTTAAGGCTTTAATTTTTACACTTTCATTTATTATTTACTTCTTTTACCTCTTTTTAAAAAATTTTAAACATAATGGGTCCTTTTTAGATGCAGCTCAGTTGGTTTACTGGTTTTAGTTATGGAATCAATATCTGTTTTGGCAACTTGAATGGGAAAGCTATTCATTTCACTGGGATATATATAGATGGGAGGATTATGGTGCTAAAAATAATTCAAATTAAATGAATTTTAATAATTTAAAGCTTTTATAATCTGTCTTTGGGTGACTATAAAATGAACTAATTTTGGTTAGTGTGAAGAAAAGTAGCAGAATGTAATTGTCAGAAAGTTGATTACTTATAAAATTTGCTAAATTCTCATCTATCGATTTGTAAGGGGTATCAGTCATCCAGAAAAGGGTTAATTCTTAATTATTTGCTGTATTGTGAGTTTAAGTCACCCCATTTGTCTGATTCTAATTCCTTCTGACTCATTCCTACTTTTGCTATCTCTGAAACTCCACCAGTCAGATAGATAACAACCCTAGACATTTAGTATGTTCAGTGAAGTAGATTTAAGTCAGGAAGGAAGGTCATGTAGACGTAGTGTATGTGCAAATGTTGAGGTGTTTTTTTGAAAGAGCTGAGTAGGAACCCTGGAGTTAGATAGTGAAAGAGTGGGGAAAGAGGAAAGTCATAGAAGTGGAGCAAATAATGTATGAGGGTGAGTGAGTCCAGTTTCCCTATTTAGAGTTAATCAGGATTTTACCTTTGGTGTCACCAGTTTTTATGGTCTTCAGTTGTTTTTTTTTCTTTATAGACTTCACTTACGAGTACATCACGATGATAAAAGATATGAATGTGATGAATGTGGGAAAACGTTTATTCGTCATGACCATCTTACAAAGCACAAAAAAATACATTCAGGTAAGGTGTACTTTGTAATGATGTTTACAGAAGCCTTTAAAAAAGCACTTGCTAGAGGACATACTACATCATGTTTATGTTGGCTATAATTTTAATAATTTGACATTGATAATGCTGACTCTGAAAAATTTTTTTAAAAATATCTGAAAGGGACATAATTTTATGACATGTTTTTGTTCACTGTAATTTTAATCATTTGGTTGCCTTTTATGACTACAGACTATATTTTGATGTTTGTTTTAATAAAATTGTCAAAATTTGCATTTTGCATATTATGTGGATATATTCAATAATTGATATTGACATATCTCTAAATGGAGATGCCAAGATAACATTGCTCATTTTGATTGGATTTGAAAGAAGTTAGCAAAACATATTTGAAGAGAAATGATTATAATTGGGTGTTAAAGTTTATGTAATAGTGAATTTTTGAAACTCTATCTTTGGAAAAGAGTACCTTAATAATCCTGATCAATTTCAGATCTTTATACCATATTTATAATTTTCATATTCTGGGGCTTTCTTTCATATTTTCCTCTCAGATTGATGTTCAGGAAGTGCTAAGAGAGCCAACTATATGAGCACAATAATGGGAAAGAGCCATCTCTATGAGCACAGTAGAACAGGTGATTATTATTATTATAAACATAATCTAAGTATAAAGTATGCAACAGATATAATTATTTTCTTAAATGATCCCAGTGAGGTTGAAGGATGCAGTTGTTATCAACACTTTAAGAGATGCTCACTGAAATTATGCATTTTTGTTTTTAGGAGGAGAATTCTAAATTCCTAATTGTAGAGATCACATGCTTTAATTGCATCTGGATTAAGTTGAGACAGTGGTTTTTAAAGGCCAAGCCTTTGAAACTGAAGAACAGAGATGAGAAATGGGACTCATCTAGAATTTTACTTCATATTTGTATTTTGGCTCATTACAAATAAATGTATGAAATCCCCATAGATGAAAAATATTTTAAAAATAGAATACAAAAAGGGATGCCTGGGTGGCTCAGTCGGTTAAGCATTTGCCTTCAGCTCAGGTCATGATCCCAGGGTCAAGCCCCTTGTCGGGCTCTGCTCAGCGGGAAGTCTGCTTCTCTCTCTCCCCCTGCCCCTCCACCCCGCTTGTGCTCTCTCGCTCACTGTCTCTCTCAAATAAATAAATGAAATCTTTAAAAAAAAATAAAAATAAAGTACAAAGATCTGAAAATGTTCGGGTCCTTTTTATTAACAGTAAAACAGCCTCTTCTTGATTCAGTGTATTTTCATTTGAAGTGTTTGACATCTAGACTTACTATATTCCTAAAAAATTACTGAGTTTTGAAGTAATTTCATTTATTTTGTCCTGTTACATTGAAAGGTAAGATTTGAAGTCTACAGCAAAAACCCTATTCGTTCCTTTTCCAAGTGAGGGAAAAGGGCTCACATCCATTAAAATAAGCATAGGTTCACTGAAGAAAGGTTTTTGAGTAAGGAATATAAAGCAAATAGCCCAGAATAAAGGGTGGCCTTACTTTTTTGGTATATTTCCCATCATGTTATCTTACTGTTTGATAATATATTTCTGGTGGAAAACTGAATTGCATATTATAATCAAAATATTTGGGTCTTTAAGGTGAGAAGGCTCATCAATGTGAAGAATGTGGAAAATGTTTTGGTCGTAGGGATCATCTCACTGTTCATTACAAAAGTGTACACCTGGGAGAGAAAGTGTGGCAAAAGTAAGTGAAAAAGCAGTTTCTCATAATTACTACATTGGATAAGTATAGGTTAGAGGAAAGTTATAACTTGTCTCCTAGTTTATTTTGTTTAATTGGGGATAGGTTAACTAGCTCTCTCTTTTTTCTGGCTTCTGTAGCTTCTCTGCTGACCTAACGGAATTCAGTGAAACATTTTTGTTTTACTTGTTTTCAGTTGACTTAAGGCTAGAGGTGGTAGACATTGAAGTTAATGACTAATATAAAATCTTGAAATTCTTTGGGCATTTCATTTATCTTTGGTTGCTGTGGCTTTTACCTAAAAGTATAAATGTGCTGCCCTATATATTATACTTAATTAGAGCAATTATTGGGACATGTTTCTAGTCAGAATTTAGATTTCTTTTTAACCAGACTGAGCATTTAAAATGGTATTTTATTTGAAGGGGGCATGTGCTATCCTAAATACCAACTTTTTTTTAATTCCAATATATTTAATATACAATATTATATTAGTGTCAGATACACAATATAGTGATTCAACAGTTCTATACATTACTCAGTGATCATCATGATAAATGTACTCTTAAATCCCGAACCTATTTCACCTATTCCCCCTGCCCACCTCTCTCTGGTGACTATCAGTTTATTCTCTAAGAGTCTGTTTTTTGGTCTCTTTTTTTTCTTTTGAACACCAGCTTTTTAATAAAATTTAGTATTCAGGTTTAACTGAGATGAGTTGTTGAGTGTAAAATGTTCAGAGAATCCATGTTCTTGGACTAGGTGTTTGGAACAAATGCTAAGTAATAGGTGCCAAGAAACTTAGGTTAATATACTGAGCATCATCAACAAAATATACATAGTATCTTTAAATGTAGTAAGTGATAGACCACTTTGAAGAAGAGTAGGAAGTGCTGATTTGTATCCATTTTTTTGTATTTTCACATACTGGTTTATATTTTCTTTCACTGATTTTGTTCAGTGATTCACCCATTGAATCAATGTATTCATTGTAGTCATTGAATTCTTTTATTCATGAGATAATAGGAATCCTGCTAAGTGCTAGGATAGAAAGATATACATGATGCTGTATAGAAAAGGAAATAAGGGGGCACCTGGGTGGTTCAGTCGGTTAAGCATCCAGCTCTTGATTTTGGCTCAGGTGATCTCGGGGTCGTGGGATCAAGCCCAGCGTCAGGCTCTGTGATCAGCTCAGAGTCTGCTTGTCCCTCTTCCTCTGTTTCTCCTGTTGTTTGTGTGCACTCTCTCTCAAATAAATAAATACATAAAATCTTTTTTTTTTAAAGGAAATAAGAATTTAAACATATTGTATGAATGGGTGGAAAAGAGACTGAACTGCAGACTCACTTGTTCCTGAGGGTCTATAACTTTTTCTCAACCCCTTTATACCTTTAAAAATTATTCAGTATCTCAGGAGCTCTTGTTACATAAATTACAATATAAAAATTATATTATTGTTTAAATAAATTATATAAATCATATTAAAAATTCAATTGAGAAAAAATTCAGTACTTATTAATTCAGTTAAAAATAGTAATATACGCATCGCATGCTCACATAAAAAGCAATTTGTGAAGAATAGCTACTTTACAAAACAAGTTAAAAATATTAAGACTGGCATGTTTTACATTTTTGTAAATCTCTCTTATGGCTTAATAGAAGACAGTTGGATTATCATATCTGCTGCCATGCATTATTTTATTTGAAGTAAACGAAGAAAATCTAGCCTCTCTATACATAGTTGGTAAAAGAAGGAGTATTATGATAGCAGTCTTAGATAATTGTGGTTATTAGTCTTTGCTACTACACTAAAACTGTTTAAGTGCTAGTTTCTTAAAGGTAGTTGCAAGGTGCAATCTGAAACAAGATTAATGAAGTTTTCATACTCTGTTACAGTCTATTGGTCTTGTACTTGAATGAATTTTTTTACCTATGCATAAATTGTAATATGATGCATTTGTCATTTGGAAAATATGGGTTCACTAAATTATGCCAATTTTCTAAATGTTAGCACATTTCACAGTACAGGATCAACAAATCACATTTGTTAATATTGCCTCTAGTCTCTCAGAAGGGAGTTTTGGGAAGCTGTCAACATCACAAGGGCAGCTGCAGGTTCTCCAGAATTTTTATACTAGCTTGAAAGCTCAAACTTTATCATTGATGACAAATACTGAAGTAACAGTTTTACTTCCTTTAATTTTCAAGAAAATATCTGCCAAATACTCAAGTCTGTAACTGTGGCTTGTCTTTTTTTCTTTCTTGTCTTTCATTCTTTCAAGTAAAATGGTATTTCGTGAAGGAAGTGGCTCCTTCAGCCCACCACTCAGACTCAGGTACTTCGGTGTGCGGTGGAAGTGCTGTGTCGTTGCCACTCCATCGCAGAGAACATTACAAAGGCCACAGTCTGAAAGGTTGAAACTGGGAAAAATTAGTAATTTGACTCCTTTACCACATTTTTCTTTTCTTTCTGTGAGTGCCTGGCAGTGAGGAGCACAATGACGATTAGTACATTTTGGGACCACTACCTTGTTTAGAGCTGAGGTACTGGCACTTTTACTTCCCATGTCTTTTGTATATGTCATTAGTGTAAATGTCAACACAACGAGAAAGGCAAATAATGTTATGGTATTATTTTGAAAATAACTTTGATCTTATAAACCCTATGAAAGAATTTTGGGATTCCCTCACTGCCACAAGAGCCTGTGGGCCTATCTACTGGCCTAGATAATTATGGAACCAGAAGCTGTAGGTTCCACTTTCTACAAGGGTTGGCTAATGGTGGATCTAGAATATGAAGCCTTTATGGAACCAGTACTTATTCCTATGTGATAAACAGCCACTGAAGATTTTAAACAAGAGGGTGACACGTTGGATTTCTTTTGGGGTAGATCACTCTTATTGGTGTAGGGAGGCTGGATTTGTAGTGGATAAATCGAGGCAAGTAAATCAACCAGTTAGAAAGCTGCTAGAATTTAGGAAAAAGATGGTGAGGGCCTATCTCGGGAGTAGCATTAGTAATAAATAGTAGAAGGTACTTATTTGAAAAATACTTAGTTTTTTGAGATAATGGGAGTAGTCATGGATAATTCCTTTTTTCAAGGAATTCCACTTTTCAAGTGGGTGGGTGATAAACTGGCCAGTGAGATAGAGAAAACAGAAGATGGACTAAGTTTACAAAGGGAGATGATGAATTGTTTGGTGTGTATTGACTTTGAGCTGCTTAATGGAAACTCAAACGTAAAATGTGATAGGTAAATGTAAGTCTAAATCTCAGGAGTGAAGACTCACCTGTGGATAAAGATTTATATGTGAATACATAAAAGCAGATTATCCAGGGAAAGAATGTGGAGTGCTTAAGGTTAGCACCCCTCCTCCTACCCATTATTTTCTAATGTTTCTTCTTCCCTTTTAAACGTTTTAAAATGGTGACTCTATTTCAGTATCCTTATCTACTTCTCCACTTTCCATTCACTGTAATAAGCTGTTGCGATATGACCTCTGACTTTACCTCTTAAATTGCTGTCAGTATAAGTTCCTTATTGCCAACTCCAATAGACATTTTTAGGTCCTTTTCACACTGGGCATCTCACCTTCATTTGGAACTGTTCATCACTCCTATCCTGGAAAATCTATACTCTAGCATCCATGTGAGAAGGGAGAGGTACATATATAGGGCCTGACCCATCGAGGTCTTTGTACATTTTATCTTTATCCTATGTTCACTGTGAGACACTTAAAGTGTTGTGAGCATATATATGTTTAAAACTTCACTCCGTTCATGGTATAGACCATGATTTCTTAGCCATAGCTAAGGGGAGGACATTTTGGGCCAGATAATTCTTTGTTGGGGAGCTGTCCTGTGCACTCTAGAATGTTTATTTATTGGTATTCCTGGCTTCTATCTAGTAGATGGCAGTAGCACCTACCTACCCCCAGTTGTGAAAACCAAAAATGTCTTCAGGCATTGCTAAATACCCCATGCAGGGCAAAATTGCCCCTAGTTGAGTACCTCTGTGTCTCTATGTGTGTGCCCATGGTGACCCTGTTTGTATCTCTGTTTGTATTTACTATGGATATGAACAGAATAAGACAAACCAAGTATACTAGTTACAAGTCTTTTGCTAAGTTTATCAGTGACACTTCCAAGTCACTAAATCTAGATTATCTTTTTAAATGTCTGTTTCATCAAGTAGAAGTAAGTTTCTGGAAGACAGGGCCTTGCATGGAATTTTTGTAGCCACTTTGTAAATGTTGAGTTGAATGACTTGAAAAGTATGAGTGGCATTTGATACCCTTAGGCGTACTATTGCTATTGAATATTGGTAATGATATGCTAAACATTCCAGTAAGACTCAGTAGATCTGTTAAAAGCAAACTGTCTTACAGAACATTATAGTAGCCTATATTTGAGTTAATTATTTGGCATGTACTCATCAGATATGAATTATTTCCAAGGTGAGATGGTAGGCTTTCTAATAACCACCACTTAAATGCGAATCATTTTACAAATATCTTAATCCTCACAATCCTTCACAATGAAATTGGAGTCTAGGATTGTTTAAATCACAAACACATATTCTTAGGTACTGCTCTCTACTGCGTGATAAGGTAGCTTTGAGTACTTTATAGCTTTTTATGTCTATTAATCTGTAATAAAAATAAAGGGCTGGTATCTTGTTCTTTTAAAATTTAGGTATAAAATTTAAGTTCAAGTTTGTAGTATTTATTATTTGTGTTATTAAGTGAACCAATTAGAGCAGTGTCACCTTTTTGACGAAGGCACGTTTTGAGGTTGCTGTAGTTTCTCTTCATTCAGCCCCAGCATCTATTTTTTAAATTTAATTGTTACACTCTACATGCAGAGAAATTCATTGTTTGTAGTGTATAGTTCTGCAAGTTTTGACAGATGCATGTAGTCATGTAATCATTACCACAGTCAAGATACAGAATAGTTCCATCACCCCTAAATTTCCACCAGACTTTTTTGTTCAACTCCTTTTTTCTTCCTTCAACCCATCATTGATCTGTTTCTGTCCCTATAATTTTTCCTTTGATATTTTTAATAGCAAATAATAATAATACAGAAGTCCAATGATTTAAATCTTAAAAGTAAGTGGTTTAAAGTTAAAAGTCTAAGGACCTCTTTTTACAAATTTGTATGTTGAATGTAATTGGAGGAGGAAGAGCCAGAGGTAAGGTTGGTACTTTAAAAGTATTTCCACATTCCTTTGGATTTCTATGCTTTATTAATGTGAGAATTATATGTAAATTTTGTAAATGTAACCTATTTTCATTGTGTTATTAAAGTTATATTGAAAACTCAACCCTTTTTATGTTTCTTAGATACAAAGCAACCTTTCATCAATGTGACGTTTGTAAGAAAATTTTTAAAGGCAAATCAAGTCTAGAAATGCATTTTCGGACGCATTCAGGTAAAAGCTAATGGGTACTTTATTTATATCTTTGTGTAATTATTCAGGAGTAAAATATGGACATTTAAACTTTGTTGTTCTTGGTTAAATTTTTTTGTCTTTTCCCCATACGATTTTTACTTATTTTATTAAAATTGATGTCATGAATGAGCGATATTCTGCCTTTTGATTCTCTGTAAGCTTCAATATTTTTTAATATTATTTTGTAAAGTTGGGGCAAACTTTTCTTCATAGGGAATTTACTCAATGTTTAGCTCTAATTTTCCCCTTTTCTGGATGTTTATATTTGCTCGGTATCTATGTAACTCTCTGAAGACATTCCTTTTTTTTTTTCCCCTCTTTTAAAAGAATAAATCAGATAGGATTTGATTATCTTGCTTAACCAAGTTACTCTTGTATACTTTCCTTTACACATAGTCAGTTGTGATTTGTGGGTAGTTACAGTAGAATGATTTGCTTCAGCTGCTCTCCAGAAGATAATTATTTTCTAAACCTTTATTTTTTCCCCCTTGGTAATGCTGCCATATTTTGAAATATAGACTCTTGGATTCTTTCTTATATGTTGTCATAGTCCTTGTTTGACTTCCCATAGAAATTAACAATTCTTAAACCTAACCTTTCCTTTTTAAAAAAGAAACTTATTTATGCATTTATGGCTGTTTTATATTTATTTGGATTTTGTCAAGCTGCTGTTCTAGAAGAGAAAAATAACTGATTTCATAAATATCAGAATGGAAAATAACTGGATTTGGGAAATTTCAATACCAAAGAATTTATTACTTATACGGTGCTTCTGTTAAAAATAAAATACAACCCCCTCCAAAGGAAAAAGTCATAATTTGGGGGTACATACATAGGAATATAAAATGAGGAAATCATATTAATGCTATCTTCCATATTATTTATAAATAATAAGCTTAATAAACTCATGGTTTGAAAGAAATGATGAACTTACAGAAAGTTAATTCAAGACCATTGATGATTTAAGAATTGTAAAACTGCAGGAATTATTTTAGAGGAGAAACTTAATAAGGGCTGGCTTTGTAATTGCATTCAGTTTTTAAAACCATTGATTTATAGTAATTAGTCAATGACCAATGACAATGTGGAATTTCCATCTCTGAATATCTCAGTTAGTTGGAATTAGGGACAAGTCACTCTGCCCATTGACAATTGCAGAAATGAGCTCTATTACAGAATAAGACAAAGATTATGGCAGTTATGAAATGAGCGGGAGAAATCACCTAAAGCAGAGGTCAGTAAACTTCTTTGGTAAAGAGCTAGATAATAAATATTTAAGGCTTTGTGGGCCAGTCTCTATCACTCAGCTCTGCTTCTGTAGCATGAAAGCAACTGTAGACAATGTGTAATCAAATAAACATGGCCACATTCCAATAAAACTTTATTTACAGAAACAGGCAAGAGGCTGTATTCAGCTTTCAGGCTATAGTTTGCCAACTTCTAATCTAAGGTAATCAGCAGGCTACCAGACAGGACTTCACAGTGTGGCCCTTCGACAAACTGGTTTCCATATTTCCCGGTCCATTCCTGAGATTTATAGGTCCAGAAACTGACTTTTATGTCTGTACACTGAGAGTTATAAATACTCTTAGGAGTTCTTTGTAATAACCACTGGAAATAGATTCACGAGAATGTCAGCTTTTTATTCACCTTTTAGAGAATGAATAGTGTACTAGCCAAGGTATCCTTTTTCTCTAATCAAGGAAGCAAAGTTGCTAAATTTATTAAGCAGAAAAATATAGAGTAAAATTAGGTAGTAATTTTATGGAATAGTTTATCAAGGAAATGGTGAAGGATACTGAATCATCCTTACCCTTGTAATAGTGTACCTCTCTTGTGACCAGAATAATTTTGCTCCCCAGATTCTTTTTCCCTAGCCAGGATACCCTTAGTGCATTATCTGTACGGCTTTTTTTAAGAAACAGATTCATGTTTTTTTGGAATCCCCTTAACTAGATTCCATATAGACCTTTCCTTTTCTGGTAATATATTCTTTCTCTAGGCGAGCTATAACTAGTGGATTGGTTTCAGTTTTGGCCAGGTCAGTATACTTAATTGGTTCAAATGAGTAATATGATCAGTGCTTAGCCCAGGACTTGCAAATAGTAGGTGCTTAATAAGTATTTGTTGAATGAATTAATTTATCATGTTTACCTTTGACTAACCTCTAATCTATCTGATGTTTTCAAACCACACAATTAGGGAAATTGATTGGAATAGAGATACAAGATTTTCTTTTGTAAATGGCTTACTCTCATCCATTATGTGTTTTGCTTGTTGTAATTCTCAGAGTAGTGATTACATCTGTTCTTAGCAGTAGTCTTGTTGAAATGTAGTGCATTTATTTAAAATAGGCATTAAAGCTGATAAATTTAGGGCCTGATTTTAGACTTGGTAGAATTTTCTAAGCTGTATGTAAAGTACCCAAATCTTAATGAACAGCTCAATGAATTTTTATAAATGAATACATCTATGTAAACACCACTCAGATTAATATAAAGTTATTAATATGTTACCAGTACCAAAATTGCAGAAGTATCTTCTCCGGTCCCTCCCAGTTGGGAACTCCTTGCAAAATAATCATTATTTTGACTTCTATCACCATTAGTTTTGCCTGTTTGAACTTGATATAAATGGAATCATACAGTATGTACTCTTTTTTTTTTGTCTGGTTTACTTCACTCAGTATGATGTCTATGAGATTCATCCATAGAAATGGGTTTGTTTCTTTTAATTTTCATAGGACTATACCACAATTTATCCATTGTACTTTGATGGACACTTGGTTTGTATTTACTTGGATCTATAATGAATAAAAGTTCTGAAAATTCTTGTTCATGATTTTTCATTATCCATATGCATTTATTTCTCTTGTGTATATGCCTTGCCACTGGATTGTTGGCTGATAAGATATGCATATGTTCTACTTTAGTAGACACTACTGAATAGTTTCCAAGGTAATTGTGCCAGTTTGCATTCCAACCAGTAAGTGTATGGTTTATGAGAATTCCAGTTGCTCCATGTTTTCACCAACACTTGACACTGTCTTTTTTTTAAGCCATTCTGATGGATATGTAGCACTGTCTCAAAGTGGCTTTAATTTGCATCTCTGTGAAAGTAATGCTATTGAGCACATTCCCATATACTCATTTGAATAACCTCTTTCTTGGAATACCTGATTCATTCTTCTGCTGATTTTCTTAAACTGGATTGTCTGTCTTTTTCTAAATGATTTGTAGGAGTTATGTCTGTATTCTAGAAATTTGTCCATTGTTGGATATCTAAATTGCAGATTCATTCTACTCTGTGGCTTTCTTCTCACTCTTGTAATGGTATCTTTCAGTGACTGAAGTTTTTGAATTTTATAGAAGTCATGTATCAGGTTTTTTTTTCTAGTTAGTTTCTTACTATATCCTCTAAGAAATTGTTGCCTGTTCCAAGATTGTTAATATTTTTTTCTGTTACCTTCTAGAAGATCTATTTTAACTTACATATTTAGATTATGAAACTTCTGTAATTTACTTTTGTGTTCATTATTAGGTAAAGGTCAAAGTTCCTTTTTTACTTTTTTCTTTTTACATGTAGCTATCTAGTCACCCCAGCACCATTTATTGGAAAGACCATCCTTTCCTTAACAGCATTTCATTGGCGTATTTGTTTTAAATTAAGTGATCATATATGTCTGGTTTGTTTTGGGGCTTTGCTCAGTTCTTTTGTATTATTTGTATACCCTTGCACCATTGCTATACGTAAATTACTATGGCTTTTGATATCTGGTACTGTAAATTATCCAACTTTATTCTATTTTGGTGTCTTTATTATTCTTGTTCCTTTATGTTTTTATACAAATTTTTAAGCATCTTATTTCCAAACACAAACACCTGCTCAGAATTTTATTAGAATGTCATTGAATATATAGTCGATTTTTCCTTAATTGATTACTTTATAATATTGAATCATCCAATCCATGAACAATCCCTACATTAACTTAAGTTCTTTTAAATGTTTTTCAAAGATGTTATAGTTTTTGGGGGTACCTGGCTCATTTGGTGGAGCATGTGACTCTTGATCTCAGGGTCATGAATTCAAGTTTGCCATTGGGCGTGGAGCCTACTTAAAAAAAAAAAAGATGTTATAGCTTTTTAATGCAGATATCTCACACATTTTCATTAGATTTATATCTAGATGTTTGATGTTTTTGTGCAAAATTATAAATTGTATTTTTATTTGTATTTGTTTCTGATGTATAGAAATGCAGTTGAGTTTGTATATTGACTTTTTTTTTTAAAGATTTTATTTATTTATTTGAGAGAGAATGAGATAGAGAGCATGAGAGGGGGGAGGGTCAGAGGGAGAAGCAGACTCCCTGCTGAGCAGGGAGCCCGATGTGGGACTTGATCCTGGGACTCCAGGATCATAACCTGAGCCGAAGGCAATTGCTTAACCAACTGAGCCACCCAGGCACCCCTGTATATTGACTTTTTATCCAATAACTTTACTAAGTTCTCTTATTAATTTTTGTAGTTTAGCTCTTTTTGGATTTTCCAAGCATACAAACTGGCCATCTGTGAATAGTGACAATTTAATTTTTCCCTTTTCAAATCCTTTTCTCTCCCTCTTGGCCTTATTGCTTTGGTTGACATCACCAGTGGTATATGACTAGAAATACTGAATAGTGGACAGCCTTGTCTTATTCGCAGTCTTCAGGGAAAAGCTTTCAATATTTCATAATTAAGTATGATGTTTTCTGGGGCTCCTGGGTGGCTCAGTCAGTTAAGCATCTCCTTCTGCTCAAGTCATAATCCTGGGGTCCTAGGATCGAGCCCCGCATCAGGTTCCCTGCTCAGTGGGGAGTCTGCTTGTCCCTCTCCCTCTGCCCCTCTTCCCCTGCTCATGCTCTCTCTCTCTCCTCTCTCAAATAAATAAATAAAATCTTTAAAAAAAAAAAAAGTATGATGTGGGGCGCCTGGGTGGCTCAG